TGAAACTCGCAAGTTGATCATTTCAGCCTTTCTTGAACCAAAACTACTCCAAACTCCCTTAAAAGCTTCTTGAGGTACTCCATCACCTAGTGTAAACAAATGCAAATGGATATGCAACCTAAAAATGCCTTTATGCAATCCTAAACTCTAATATGCATAAGAAATGGCTAGTTAATTCAATGAAAATCACAAGATATCAGAGATCCCAGTGGATGATAAAGCTGCACTTAATGTCACTTTCACCAGTGATCCTATACTGAGAGATTCATCCATCACTTTTGAAATCGATGGTTTGTTCACCAAAAGAGAAACGAATCAAGTCTTGAAGTCCTCCTTCAGAAACTCTGCATCTTCATCTATCTGCCCTGAAAATTCAAAAATGCTCGGAATATCACTGGATGAAGCTGTCTTTAACTCTGCTGCAGCTTTGTACTACAATGTAAGTTCCCTAAATTGCTTACTCATGGTATTGATATTCATCTATTGATCATTTCTCATTTGAGGATCCAGGCAGAATTCATGCAATGGATAGTGGATAAAGTACCAGGTCAGGATCTTCTAAATACTGCTAGGTGGAGGTTCATCATTCCACAACTATACAGGAAGTATCCTAACCAGGATATGAATCTGAACATCAGTTTGTCATCACCTCCCCTTGTAAAGATCTCAGAGCAGTATGTGGGAGCTAATGTGAACGCCGACCTAGTAATCAATGTTCTAGAAGCAGACCAAGTAATACCAGTAGCATGCATCTCCTTGGTAAGTCTTCAAAAAACCAATGCTGTAAATATTTTGTTTACCAGTGGATGAGATTCACTGTTGCTTGGCTGCAGGAGATCCGAGGGTCTGGTGCTCTCAGAGTGATGGGTAATAACCTTGGAGGCAGCGTAAGATTAGAAGATTTCTCCATGTCTTTGGAATGGAGCAACATTGGAAATCTCCACCTGCATCTTCTTCAGGTAAAAGCACCATGTCAAGTGTTTTAAAAGCTCTCATATGTTGTTAATATATAAAAAAGTTCATTCAGACTGCATCTTCTTTATCTTGTAGCCAATAGTGTGGACCGTTATACAAACAGTGTTTGTGCCATATGCAAATGACCATCTAGAAAAAGGCTTCCCTTTGCCCATAATCCATGGATTCACACTTGAGAACGCTGAAATCATCTGCACAAGCTCTGAAATCACAGTTTGCAGCGATGTTGCCTACTTGGATTCGTCCCAACAGCCTCGATCGCATTTGAGTCGACTAAGTTCTACGCCTTGGATAACCACGTTGTAGTTTACAATTGGCGGTTGTCAATGCTGGTCTGGTATCTGAACCAGAGACTCGACTGCCAAGACAAAACAAAGCGTTGTACATTACCTTTGTATTTTGATGTTGAAGTGTATGCTACTTCTCTATATGAAATAAAGTGTTCCTTGTAATTACTAGGGTCTGAAGTGTCGGATACGTTAATACAATGGTCAACCAATTAATCAGCTAAGCGGTTAGGCAGCAACTAGAACAAGAACATATTTCATAATCTACATGCTTCAAAGTTGTGACATAAGATGGGAAAGTCACAAAAAACAAAACAAAAATTATCGTGAATGGAAGCTCGGCTGCCAAAATTTAGTTAGACTATCTACAATTGGGTGTGAAATAAAAGATTTAATAGTTAATCACTACAATAAATGTGTTGAAAAATGAAATTTGATGATGTGAGTTGGTGTTGTAAAGATTCAACTAACTGAATAAAAAGAAAGTGGATCCTATTGATAACACATGTCATTTTTTTTTTAAAATGATATTTTGTTATCTTCTTAATTATTTAATATCATTATACATAAAATCATCTATTTTTATTTTTTATATGAAAAATATTATTTTCTCTATAAATAGAGATTAAATTTATTTAATTTGGATTTTTAAAATAATAATTATGAATTAATAAAATAGAGTATTGAATTTTATTCAATAAAATCATTTTAATATGTAAAAATTAAATGTGTGATGAATGATGAGTTGGTCGAAAGAAAATATGACATGAAGTGTTAAAAATAAACATGAGGGTGTTGACTTTTAAAATCATTGTACATAGTCTTATGATATCAAACAGACATCAATTCTCGACAACTATATACCTGAAAAGAATAATTTTTTTTAAAGATTTTGTTGATACAGTTCTTTTTTAACATAATGTTAAAGAAGGTAAAAATATTTGGAAAAGAAATTAAAATGAAAAAAAAACAGTTTTTATACGGAAAATATTTTCTGGATCAGTCAGTAATTAAAGAAATGACGAGACCAGTTGCGGAGAGTACACAAACTATAGGGACTTAAACGGGAAATCGCAGGTTCCAACCCTAATAAAATCACTTTGCCAAGAGCCTAGAAAACAAAGGGTTGGTTATTTTGGAGTTATTAACACTATAGGGCAGTTTTCATGTTTTTATTACACTATAAGGCAGTTTCAGCTACCAAGGTAGTTTTCTCTAACTTTTTACTTTCTTTCTTAACTAAACGTAACTAGAAAAAAAATATCAATTTACTTTAACAAAAAAAGTCAAAAAAATTTGAAACCCAAAAACCATCAAAAATAATCTTCATATTCTTTATCCTAACTTCCACCAATAATTAAGAAATAGAGACAAAGATGACGACTAAACCCAGAAAATTATGACGAGATGGGATATTGGTATGTGTGGCGGTAAATCGAAAGCACATTAACCAAGCTTTCTCCTCTGCTGGTGAACATCAATGGAGCTAGATCGCAAAACCTTCATAGTTCATCTTCTCTTTCGCTCTTCAATTCATTGTCCTTGCTCTGTAACAATAGCTTCTAATGGTTGTGATGCTCGAAATACGTGTTTGAGTTGCACAATGAAACTCGAACCAGAATGGCCAAATATAAAAAAAAATCAGAATTTTTGAGGTTTGAAGTTGAAAAAAATTATATACATGGTAAAGCTACGATCTTGAAGTGCAGCCTATAATTAAAACTAAAAGAATGGAAGATTATGTGAAATCAATCAATGGCGGCCACAAAAGATGTTGCAGAAAACCCTAAAAATTTAGGGAAGACGAAGTCATATTTACTAAAATACCCTTTTTAAAAAATTAAAAATAAACAAAAAAATCATATGTACATGATCTTATGTACACGCAATTTATTATCCACGTGTACAACGATTGTTGTTGTGATTTATGTATATGGTCATATGTACATGACATTATGTATACACAATTTATTATCCATATGTACAACGACTAATATGTACACCCGTCAATTTTGAAAAATGATTCATATGTACACAATATAAAACATTTCATCAAAACTATATATGGTATTTTGGCGAAATTTGTTTTTTATATACATGGTACATTGTTTTAATAATAAAGAGTGTACACATGTGAAGACGTTCACATACACACATATAAATGTACACATGTAATTTATTTTTAATAATAAATAGTGTACACATATAAAGAGTGTACATTGTTTTAATAATACAGAGTGTACACTTGTGATGTTGTACACATGTACACATATAACTGTAAACATTTTGTTTTATTTTTTAAATGAATGGCAATTTTGTAATTAAATCATCTTCTTCCTATTAGGGTATCATGCGTTTCTGTAATTAAATCTCAGAGCTGCCATTGATTTTCTTCATGAAATCTTCATTTTTTTGCAGTTTTATCTTTAGAACTTTAAAATATTGTAATAATTAATTGATTAGATCCAAAACCAAGTGAAAAACAAGTTTTCTCATAATTTTCAAGTTGTAACAGATTATAACCAAAATGTTATAACTATTCTTCGCCAATCATCATTCCGTTTGTTTTCGATGACGCCATAGCTTCCCGGATTTTGAGTCCACACCCAAACATTTGTAGTCAGCGGAGACAACACCATAGTTTCCCAGATTTAGAGATTTCGATGTAGGTTAAAAAGGTTAAATTTTTGAAGTTGGAGATGGAAATGAACTTTAAAGTTCTTCTCTTCTCTGTTAGTTTCTGGAGAACCCAGAAACAAAAATAAGCTCGCCAGAATAAAAAAAAGTAAATTTTGAAAAAGTTTTGTTTAATTGGAAGAATAAGAAAAGAGCAAATGAAGAAAGCAAAAGAAAGAGAGAAAGAGATTCGTAAAAGAAAGAAGAGTTCAGATGGATGAAATAAATGGGTCCTACTAATTATGATTTACTTTGATTTCAACCATTAAGCGTAACGAAAAGAAAGAAAGTTAGAAAAAAGTGCTCTAGTAGTAGAAACTGCCTTATTATGTTATAAAAAACTTAAATCTGTCTCTGAGCGTAATATTTTCGTTATTTTGCTCATAAAAGTCATATTAATCTAGGAGAGGCGCGATGGAGAAAGAATTTCAAGGGGAGGAAGAATTTGCAGGTACGAATCCAAATCTAAATACATATAGAAAGGATGTGTAAAGATAAAATGAGTAATCCCTAATTTCGGATAATGCGATGCCCACCAGCAATGAGTTTTTATCAACTGGAGGATGTCTTGTTCGGATTGGAGATTGGGCCCGAGGGTGACTGTGTCCAGGCCCTAAGCCGCTGTGAGTATAAAGGGACTGAAGCCCTTACCATGGACGAAGAGTATCACCTCATGAGGAAACAAGTCGAGGAGACTGAGGTTTTGTTCTTCGAAAATCTTTCGTTTTTGATATCTTTCATTAATCTTTTGATTGGTTATTTATTTAGGGCTTCGACATGGATTTCACTCAGTTTCGCTACGGTTTTAATTACAAACCAGTTGATTTCGGTGATAACAAGTTGGTTCCTGACGGAGAAACCATGAGAGGTTTATTGGACAGGCTCTCTCGTAAATCCCTGGAGCTATACAATGACGGCAAGGCAACATCATATGAATTTTTGGAGGTTAGCAAAGCCAATTATCACATGGCTGGTGCTGGCGTTATGTATTTCATTACCTTTCTAGCTAAACAAGATTCTTCTGATGACCCAAAAACATTCCAAGCTAAGGTCCACTATTCCTGCATTGACGACAACAAGTACCTCACTTGCGAAGAAAAATGGTACCAGCCAGCTTCTTTTGTTTGTTTCTGTGTAATATGAATTATGCAACTTAAAGCTTTATGGATCTCTGTTGAGATCAGTTTGATTGATTATATGATATTATGTCTGTGTTGTCTTTGTAGTTCACTCCATTGAAACTACGGACAAAGAAGATACCAAGAAACCAAGGTATATAAAATATATATATCTCCAGTTGTTTTTTTTTTTTTTTCTAACTTGAATAAGTTCGTTTCCCTCGTGTTGCTTTTATATGGTTCTTAGGGCGTTTTATGTGTCTTGTTATCTTGTAGCCAATAATATATAAAACTTCATTCAGACTGCATCTTCTTTTATCTTGTTTCCATCTTGTAGCCAATAGTATGGACCGTTATACAAACTGTGTTTGTGCCATATGCAAATGACCATCTAGAAAAAGGCTTCCCTTTGCCCATAATCCATATGGTTCACACTTGAGAACGCTGAAATCATCTGCTCAAACTCTGAAATCACAGTTTGCAGTGATGTTGCCTACTTGGATTCGTCCCAACAGCCTCGATCACATTTGAGTCTACCAGGATCTACGCCTTGGATAACCACGTTGTTTTAGTTTACAATTGGCGGTTGTAAGTGTCAATGATGGTCTGGTATCTGGACAAGAGATTCGACTGTCAAGACGAAAACAAAGCTTGTATATTACTTCTGTATCTTGATGTTGAAGAAACTGTGTATGGCTACTTCTCTATATGAAATAAAAGTGTTCCTTGTAATTACTATGGTCCAAGTGTGAGACGGTAATACAATGGTCGACCAATTAATAGGTTAAGCGGTTAGGCAGCTTGGTGGATTAATCTGCTAGAAATTCAATCAATTGGTTTGATGTCTGATAAATTAGTAAAGTTGTGATATACTGAGGAGGCGGGATTATAATGTATGTATTAGTAGAGGTTAGCAAAGCCAACTATCAAAAGCCAACTATCAAAGAAGAATCGTCAACTGTAGATTTGGCGTGCTTTGTCTTCTTGACTAACTGTGTTCTTTTCTTTATTATCCGAGCTAAGGCTAAGGCTGTGTTGACTTATCCACACATTCTTCTATAGCAGATTCTACTGACTTTATATCATTAGAGAGAGTTGATCATCAAGGAAGATCAGAGATCCCTTGTGCTTAACTGATCATGAAAGAATATCATGTTTTTCACACAAAAAAAAACAAATAGTTAAACCGAAAAAAATAACTAAACCAATGAAATAGTAAACCAAGATAGATTAAGATAAATCTAATGTTCAAAACACCTGATTCTAGAAATATGATTTGCTGAAATTTCTTAGACCAAGAAGATAACAGATTTGATCATTCCACTTCAATCACTCGAAACCATTATAGAGAGGGACTAATTGACATTTTCACAGTAATTTATGTTACATTATTAACTAGCATGTGTCTTTTTTGTGTTGTTGATGTGTCAAGGCTGGAGAGATTCTTTCTACTTTAATATAGTAGATTTGTTCATTCACTAAAGTCCAAGTTCATATATATAGACATAAATTCATAGTAATATAGCAGGAAAGCAAAACAATAAGTCCAAGCATATATATACACATAAACTCACACTCTCTATTTCTTAAAAATTATCAATTTGACACATTTCCCACATATTAAGAAATTAATAATTATACCAATATCTTCTTATTTATACAATTGTTTATATAAAAATTATTTAACTAAACATCTATTGGTTATTTAAAAGAGTATGAAAGATATTAATATGAAAAATTGTATTGGGAAAGTAGATGACACTTGTATTTTAAAAAAAAATCAAAAAGCTAAAATGACATTTTTTTTATAAAACAGAGGAAGTAGTAACATAACATGAAATCAAAATAATGTTACATTGATTTCATCGTTTAAAATCATTAGAGTGGACACGGACCCACCCACCATAGAACAATATATGTCCTCATTCTGCAACCTCAACAACAAGTACCTTCATACATATATGTGTTCTTCATCAATATTTATGTGATATGTTTAAAAATTTGTACAAGAAATGTTCACTTACACTGATATTTCATTATTGCTCATCGACATACTTTATCCTAAACTGAAAATAAAATAGAATTTGGTAAGTAACTAGTATATGATAGATAATATTAATAATAAAATGTGATATTGAAGTGCATAACCTATGATTCCAAATATCTCGCTTCTTTGCTTAATATGTATTCATCACTTCTCATTAACTTAACCACGATCGGCCCATGTGTATTCAAAAGCTTGATAATTTCTTTTTCATCAATTTCTTTTGGATCATCTACAGTGACCAATTCTTGGATCTTATAGTCTAGTCTACTTTGTAAAATTTCTAAGAGAAGAATTAAAATCAAATGATCAAATAACCATAGATTGTAATAGCAAAATTCCACTTACTTTGACTTTGTTACATGAATATGTGGTCGTTTTTATCGCATGTGGCACTTGCAATCTTCTTATACTACCATGCCCTACACGCCTTTAGCCTCTTGTAATTTTTGAGATTCTCATTAGCAAATTTCTCTTCGATATTTCTGGAAAGGTGTTCACTAGACAATGGCAGAAGCTGTTTGGTCTTGTTGTGAATGTATAAGTGGGCCGCATTCATTTTCTACTAAATGATATACTCCAACTAGAATATATATATACAATTAAAATTTTATTAAATTTGTAAAGCAACATCAAAATTAGGAATTTGAACTTCCTTTCGAGCGTAATTACTTCATCTTCTTTCACGGGACTCCTCCGAAAAGTCTCTGTCAAGCAAATTCAGTTTTTTATATTGGATGTTCATCATCCTCTTCGTCAAGTAGTTTTCTTGGTCTTTGAGTGGCGACTCCTTGTCTCTGCCAAAGGTTGGTTGTGGTTAGATATAATTGATATCCAATATAGGAAAATACTCTTACAGCATTCACCTCGTTTTCCTCTTTCTAGTTTCAGCCATTGTTTAACACCGTAATGACTAATATCAAAGAAAATATAGTGTCAAATTCACAGCGCACAAATGAATGAATCTTGTTTGATCATAAATAAATTTCACCAAAGAAAAACAATATGTTCAATATAATATATTCCCTCTGGTTTATTTTAATTGTCATTGTAAAATAAAACTTTTGTTTTGTGTCGTTTTCAAATTTTAATGAAAAGTTTATTAATTTTATATGTTATATGACTCTTTATATTCTCTTATCGATTTTTCTATTGGTTGAAATGTGTTTAGTTATATATGTAATAATGTTTTTGTTTAAAAAATATATAAAATTAAATATTTTTTAATTTGTATGTACAAATCTAAAACGACATTTAAAATGACACGAATATAATACTTAATTTCCCCAACTAGATAAAAGAAATGATGATGATTTTATGAGCAATACAGTGGTTAGTCCCTTTTACATATCTTATGACCAAAAATTTCTGCATCTTCTCTATCTTGTTTCCATCTTCTAGCCAATAGTGTGGACTGTTATACAAACCGTAACCGAGTTTGTTCCATATGTAAATGACCATCTAGACAAGGGTTCCCTTTGCCCCTAACCCACGGTTTCACACTTCAAAACACTGAAATCATCTGCTCAAGCTCTGAAATCCCCAATTTGCAGTGATGTTGCCTACTTGGATTCGTCTCAACAGCCTCAGTCACATTTGAGTCTACCAAGTTCTACGCCTTGGATAACCATGTTGGTGTAACTTACAATTGGCGGTTGCAAGTATCACTCGACTAAAGACAAACAAAGCTTTGTATTTTGATGTTGATCAAACTGTGTATGCTACTCCTCTATATGACATAAAAATGTTCCTTGTAACTACTATCTTCGTTGGATACTGAGGCTGGATTATAAGACAACCCAATTATATAGGTCATATCGAAGCTGAAACATTCACACTAAAGTCTGTATATATCTAAATATGAAATCAAAAAGTATATTACTCTGTTGCAACCCTTTGAAATGATATCACTGGCTCTCTGGGGCATTTTAACAATCTTTCAAGAAACCAAAACCGTACTAGTGAGGTAAAAGAGTTGTTCACAACTTGCCCTTTGACTCAGTGGAGGCATCAATCATCTGCCATGAGTTCTTCAAGTGAGAACTCATCTGCATCGACCACCTCTCCGTCTTTACCATCCCAAGCTTCTGTCTTCACTATCTCCAGTGTTCCGTCTATAGGCAAGTTCCCTTTCCCTCCTTCCTTAGCTTCCTTCACGAATTCTCTGATAACACAATAAAGAAAAAAGACATTGGCCATTAGTTTTGTATTGGCAGTCTTGTCTAAAAGAAAGATAGAGAAAGATCCAAGATAACACTTACATGAGGTGTTTAACCTCAAAACCGCTTTTAAGTGGAGCATAAGCTCCTTTCTTTGCATTCAAGGCTACCATTGCTGGATAACCATATCCTCCAACACCAACACGCTTCTCCAAATCAGGTTGCTTCCCAGCAGCCACCCACACAAAGCTGCAAAAACAATCAGAATCCAGCAGAAAAAAACACAAAGTAACTGAGAGCTGGAATATGATGATAGTAGCTAGAACTAAGATATAAGAGATTTGTTATTATGTTACCTGATAGGGTCCTTTTTAAACTTCTCTGCAACAGATAATAGCATGTCCAGATACTTGTTCCTTCCTTCAGCTTTTGAGTCCAGAATGTCAGGTAAGAAAGAAACAAAGCAAATAGCAGCAGGACCACACTTCTCTTCCATCACATCCTATTAAATTCAGCACACATTTTGAGTGTCAGTGTCTTGGGTTGGAGACAAGTTTCATCTGAAAACAACACTAGGGAAAAAGTTACAGATGTGAGCAGTACCGGCCCAGTTAGTTCAGTTACTTCAACAGGTCCAACATTGGATTCAAGCTGTTCCAGAGCAAAAGACTCGATGGCTGATGCAGATCTAGCACCCTCATAAGGCAATGGGCTGCTTTTGTCAGCACCAAAGACCAAGATAGTGGGGAATCCTTTCACCTTGAATCTGCTCTGTATCGCCTGCAGTAGATGAAATGAAAACAAGCATTTGGTTATACGAAGCAGAAAGTGTTGCCAGCTTATGCGATTCATCCTTTAAAGCAAATGACTAACGTGTTGTAAGATCTCTAATGTCAAAATCTCTGAAGTAACAAACTCAACCTAAATGCTTATTTCAATTTACTGAGACACGTTATTACATCTATAGGAACTCTAGGGATTACCTTGTCAGCATCACAATCGACATGACCTAGTTTGACCTTCCCCTTCAACTTGTTTGCAGCCTTTTTCCACTCAGGAGCTAGTTTTTTGCAATGTCCACACCTTAAAGAAGAAGAAACAAAAAAAAAAAGATGGTTTTCAGCTACAGATATAATTGAAGTGTTCAAGAGTCAATATACACTACTTACCAAGGTGCAAAAAACTCCACAATCCAAAGTTCTTTGCTCTCAATGACCAGCTCATCAAAATTGCTAGAGTTCAGCTCCACAGAGGCACTAGGCTCGGATTTCTTCTCACTGGATCCTCCTCCATTTTTCGTGCCAGTGGTTTTACCATCCAAACGATCTTTCAGCAACGCCTTTATCTGTGAAGCAAAAAAACATCAAATACATATATTAATCTGAATGCAGGCTCAAGGGCTTGATGGAGAATAAGAGTGTGAGACAAACCTGCTTGATAGCAAATTGAGAGATGGATTTAGCATCCCTTGCTCCTTGATAATCAATAGGAGGCTTCCCAGGAACAAACACTTTAATAGTTGGGAAACCCCTAACACCATAATCCTATAACAAAAAAAAACATTTAATCACAAACTATACAGAAAAAGAAAGAATCTTGGCTTTCTTGTTGAGCAATCAAACAAACCTGAGAGACAGACTTGTGAGCATCAGCATCAATGGCTGCCACAGTAGCAACACCTTTCAAAGTAGTAGCAACTTTCTCCCAAGTGGGTGTTAAAGATTTACAATGACCACACCATGGTGCAAAGAACTCCACCAAAACAACACCATTTGAATTGAGAACCTGTATTTAAGCCAAAAAAAACACCTTAGGGTATCATCACACACTACATTGCTAACAAACAATAAAAAGGAGAGAGATCAAAATAATAAGAAACCTTAGACTTGAAATTAGAAGGAGTGAGCTGAAGAACAGGAGAAGATGATCCGTAGAGAGCATTGGTTAGATCGAAGAAGAACACAGACACCAGTGAGAGAATCGTGAGCAACGTTACTCTTCTTGATTTCTTCATTTTTCTTTCCATCATCTTTTTTCATTCATTCAGTCTAACGGGGCATAATAGTTGATGAACTAGAAAAAAACACAACCTACGTGGATTTACGTGTAATAACCAATGATTTTGTTACACGTCACCACTCTCTCCTCTCGTATTTCGTTTCTAATTAAAATAAGGAAATAACAAAAAAAAACGCACGTGCGAGAGACGGCATCATCCGGATATAACACACGTGTGGGGATGATATTGAGTGGGAGAGAAGCATCTAATCGTCCGCCAGCCTATATAATATGATTTCTAGGGCTTGAAAAATCTTTACTCTATTAACATAAACACACACTCAAAGCTTTTTGAAGGCTCTTAAGATCTCGGGAAGTCGTTGCCGATGACGATGACGAATGATGAATTTGCAGGTACCGATTCCAAAGTCTTAGGATGGATGTGTTAGATTAATTATAAGCTCCCCCTTTTGTCATTCTAGGTTTTTTCACATCGATTAATGAAACATTTAATTTTACATATTTTCAAGATAAAAACACAATTACTTATTCTGAAATGGAGAGAGTAATCAGTAGCTATCCCTAATTAATTTTCGGATAGGTTGTCTTGTAAAATCCTTGAGCTATACAATGACGACAAGGCAACATCATATGAATATTTGGAGGTTAGCAAAGCCAATTATCACATGGCTGGTGCTGGCGTTATGTTTTTCATTACCTTTCTAGCTAAACAAGATTCTTCTCATGAGCCAAAAACATTCCAAGCTAAGGTTCGCTATTCCTATGTCGCCACCAACAAGTACCTCACCTGCGATCTTAAACCACCACAAGGTGGTACTCTTTTTTTTTTTTTTCTTTTTTTGTTGTTGTTGTTGCAATGCATGTAATATTAATTAAGATGGGGTTGTCTCTTTTCTGTTGATGTCATCAATTGGTTATGTAATATATTTCTGGATTGTTTTGGCAGTTAATTCACTCCATTGAAAGTTTGAAAACTGCGGACAACGAAGATGCAAAGGTCAAATATTATTTACTTTAAATGAATCTTCCCCTTTGTGTTGCTTTTAGATGGTTCTTTCTTGAGGCTTTTTCACTTGCCTAAATATTACTTGTTTTTTATTTATTTATATCCTCAGGTTGACAGAGGAGACGGATAAAAGCAAGCACTGATGCGATAATTGAGTCTAGTTCTTGTATTACTTTTACTATTTTATCTTGTTCGTTATCTGTTCTCAGAGACTCATTGGATTGTTGTTCAGACTTTAGTTTCTGTGTTATCACAAACATTATCATTTTAAAGTGTGTCGACTGGTTGTGATATTTAAGCTAAAGGAGAAGTATTTTTACACTGCAAGCTCTAGTTTACTTGTATATGTTCATTCACCTTTCTTAAATCATGCACATCATAGCCCTAATATAACCAACAAAGCTTTCCTCAAAGGCTTCAATATACATGCGACATAAAAGTTTCGTCCTATGCTGTTTTCATCCATGGCAATCTCCAAAAGAAAAACCCAACAAAAAAAGAGAAACACTTTCACCACCACTCCTCTTCCACAAAAATAATAACAACAAAAAAGAGTATAGAGAGATCATTGAGATCTTTAGAAGTTGAGTGGGGGAGTTTCAGCCATATAGCTGATGATTCTCGTAGCCGTGATCATGAATCATGATCGTGGCGATGACAAATCCTGCACTTGTTTTGAACCATCGTCCGGTTTCTCAGTCCCAGACATTTCCTTCTTCACATCATTATGCCTAGCCTTTGAATCAGAGCGGCTTGGCGATGGTGAGATCCTCTGATAATTCGATGAAACATGTGAAGGATAATGACTAGGCAGAGACAAAGAAGGCATGGGCAAGGCCGCTGGATATGGCAGCACTGAGTGGTCGAAATTGCAGTTTGGTCCAAACTTGCAGAATCCATAAGACTTGAAGCTACCACAAGCTGGTTGTCCCTGGACAGCCAAAAGAAAAAAAACAGAACAATGCTGGCTCACTACATGGTTCAAAAATACAACCAAATTTGAGCTACAAGGCAGTGAGCAATAGAGGCTTACAGGTCTCACTGGGAGAACAAAAGGGTTTATGAAACTTGGTGGTGGTGGTGGTGGTGGTGAAACTCTTACTCCAACGTGAGTGTATTTGCAGTAATCTCCATATTTACATGTCCCAGTGTTCATGAAAAACCGGCATTGTTCTTGTTGTTCGGATCTTTCAGACAAATCACCATTCAATGTCACAGCCATGGGCATTGGTGCACTAGAACCAGAGTAATAAGCTTGATTCTTCACACCATACATGGAGTTAGATCCACCCTGCAGGGACATGCAAGAGAAGTCAAATTTGATAAAAGCATAACTATGTATTATTTAAAAGCTTCAACTTGGACTTACCATGTAAGTGGCCCAGCTCTGAGGAGGCAAGAAGCCTTGAGAGGGTGAAACCATGACGGGAACATAGGACTGAGGAAGCTGCGGACGAGGCAAAGTTCCATATGTAGGCATCATTGTTAATCCACCACCAGCATGATGTAAACCTGCAGAAGGAAAGGTGGACATCCCATAGGGAGCAGTTGAGTGTCCATTATCAGGTTGTGGATGGTGGAATTTGCAAGCAACTCCGAATCTGCAGGTTCCCGTTCGCAAGTAATACTGACATGGCTTCTCACCCTGGTGACAGAAACTCAAATAAGTCCTCCATGTTCAAACGTTAATAAAAAAAAAAAAAGGAATACAGTAGCGAGGATGCTGATATTACCTGACGCATAGGTAAATTGAGAACATTGAACAATATAGGTTCTGCTCCATTCCTGTCCTTTGGGTGATGGTACTTACAAGTTGAACCGTACTTACAAGCTCCTGTCTTGAGATAATACTGCAAATAAAATGAGTACACAAGAGTAAGTTGTTTGGAAAACATCTTTCAAGAAAGCAAGCAATGTGGTTCAACTACTTGACCCAGCTTAACGTATCTTTCCAAATCTAGGAAAGACTAAACCAGACATGAGGAATATGTTCTGCAGTTCAATGTAGATTCTTGTTACATCGTCAATGAAGTTGCAACCTATAATAAGTTATATTCCTTCTCTTTTCAAATCGAGTTAAAGACTAAAACAGACAAGAGGAATATGTCCTGTGATTAATTGTAGATTCCTGTTACCTCTTAAAGTTAAGTTGCAAATTGTAAAACAAACAAACACGAATAAGTTCTGTTACAAATTTACTAAATGGACAATAAGCTTAAATGAGGATGCAACAGTCCAAACAAAGATATTAAACTTAATGCATTCATACAAAACAACCAATCAAACTAATCCAGTTAAGATAATTATTAAAAGAGATCCAAGAAGGTGCACCTCACAATCCGGCTGGCCAAGCCTCTCCGGGAGCTCTTCATTGTAGTAAATACCCTGTTTTGAAAGATGGTGAGCCATGAGCCAGCAGCTAAAACAGTAGAAAACTTGCAACTTAGAAAACGATTTTTTATCTTCCTCACCTGTGGAAGGTTAGTAGGATGATTGTAACGGCAAGTGCTTCCATAGCCACAAAGACCAGTTCTCAGATAGAACTCGCAATCTCTTTCACCAGGACGATCTGGATACGCATCAGATTGCGCCACTCCGTTTCCATCATCAACTTTCATCTTCCTAAAAGCATCTAACCATCACAAAACAACAACAACAACAACACGGTTATTATTTAATGATGTCTGAACTTGGATCACTAGATACTTAAGAAACCAAACAGAAACGTAAACACAAAACTCATTTGATTCATAAAGAGATCAACTTTAAATATAAACCCGAGATTTATAAACTTTACCTTCGAGTTTTTGGGAAGATCGAATCGAACCAGTAGAGCTCTGAACATGGTGAGTGTTATCTGACATGGGTCGCATGTAAGAAAAGGACAATGAAGGACGACGACGATCACGATGATCAAACAACAAACAAAGACAGATTCGAAAGTTTCTTCCTTTTTTTTTTCTCTTTGCTAAGAATGTGAGATATTTTCAGAGGAAGTTTTATTTCGGATCTTCTTCTCTGTTTGGTCTTTTTGCCTTTTTTTCTCTCCTGCGATGTTCTGTGTGTTTTCAATGTGAACAGAGAGAGAGATGGAAAATTAAAATGAAATTAAATTAAAAGAGTGCCAAGTAATGAAGTCTTTTGCCTCCCCTCGTGTACGGCTTAATAAATTCTGCATGTCTGTTAAATGGCGGTTTTACCCCTACTTCTGCTGATATGTCTTCAATGTGACGGTTCGATGTGAACCATCGTTTATTAGCTTTTTAGGTGGACCCTACCTTTTATAAGTGTTAAACCATTGGTTATTTCCACCATAATAATTCCATAAAATCCTTTTTAGGTTACGAATGGAAAGGCAGAACAAGTGCAGATCTCCCGCTTATGCAGTTCTCCTGCTCTGTTTTTACCATTCATGTTTTTCTGTTTCTAAAGGCAGTTCAAGCGGGAGATCTGCATGCAGTCCAATATTTTCTGTCTTTTTGTGAAAAAAGCAGGAGATCTGCATGCAGATCTCATCCGCTAATATTTGAAGGGGTTGATCTGCCTTTTTCACTAATAAATGATTTTACTATAAACACTAACTTTAAATATATTTATCTGATTTTATAAATAATCTACAAAGATTAACTCAAACTATATAGTTCATACTAATATTATTTATGTCATTTTAAAATTATAAATATGACGTTCAATCCCCTACAAAACATAACATTTTTCAAAGAAAAATATCTAAATTTCCTACACAAAATGAGTATTTTATTAAACTATACAATATTTTTCAACAAAAAAGATACAAATATTTCTTTATAAATATCAACAAAAAGTTTAATATTAGTAACCTGTCGGTTCTTCAAAGACAATTTTGATCAACTAAAACATAAATAGAAGAAGTACAAACATCTTATGAAAAATTCAATTAACATTATCTTACAACATCTAAGATATTTATTTTGATATTTTAGTATAATATTTTATTGTTTAAATATATAATCTATAGTTTTGAACTGATTTTGTCATTCATAATTTACAATAAATTGTTTGATCTTGTCATTTCATAATTTACAATAAATTGTTTGATCTTCATCTGTCTTGCATGATCTGCATCTCTCCTGCATGATCCGCTTGATCTGCACTTGTCCTGCTTGATCTGCACTTGTCCTGCTTGATCTGCATGAACCGCTTGATCTGCACCGTTTGATCTGCTTTTACCATTCGAAGCCTTAATAACATTACATTTTCAGTTTTATGTTTACAATTTTTTTAGATAACATTGCATTTTAAGTTCTATGTTTTCAATTTTAAAAGATAGATCTTAACAAAATATTCAATGTGGAAAAAAAAAGATCTGAATCTTCTTTTTACAATAATCAACATAAGTATATCATGTTTCTTAGATATATTTTTGAAAAAATCACAGATTACTTATCTAATTATTATGAATAAATCTCTATTGGCATTTTATTTGAATTCTTTTGGTCAAAACTTTAAAAGATTAGATTTTGAATATCTTGTTTCTTAGATTTCTTTAATTACTTTACAAAGTAGATTTTCATAATAAATAGTTTATTACAATACATTTTTGTAACGTTAGTGTATGCATTTAATTTATAAACATATCCAAGAACATGTCTTTTAGATGAACACAGATAACACTAGTAATAATGTTTCACAAAAGCAAGTAATAATAATACTTATTCCATTTTTAAATAAATGATGTTTTAGGAAAAAAATATATTCTATTTTCTTAATCTTTAAGGTGAAATTATTAAATCTTTATATTATATGGTTCTTCATATTTTACAGTCCAGTTTTTCATTGGATAATTTATAATTAGATAAGTAATTAATAACATTTTTGTTTTAAAATATATAAAATTAAATATTTTTAATTTATGAACATAATCTTTTTTTTTTTTTTTTGGTCAAAAATTTATGAACATAATCTAGAATGACATATTTTCAAAAGGGAGGGAGTAGAAGAAATGAGTACAATAGCAAACAAAAATAAAGGTGTAAATAATTGCTTTGGGACCAAGCCATAGGAAAGTTAGCCAGCTCGGACATGTTTCTTTAACTCCAAAAACCGAATTAGCAAATAGGGTAAAACGGTCAGATACAAAGTAAGTCTTCCGGCACAAGTAATCTTCTGCTTCGCAGTTTAAGTCGGGACCCACAGGATTGAAAAAAGAAACAGCAGTAGTAATTAGAAAGTGTCAGAGTGAAAGGGGAGGAGGCTGCGATTGGGTGATGACTGGAGCAGCGTAAGAGCTGTGGGCTTGAGACGTCCAACTTTCGCCACGTTTACCTTACGAGGAATGATCGATCCTCTGCTGTGACGATCACACCTGCTACCGTGAGTTTGACGCATTTTTCTTTCTGTTCCACCTGTTTGACCGTTCCAAAGACTTTTCACACGTCAATATAACACTAAAAAGTAAATGATTTTATGGACTCTTCTTTATTAGGTCCTTTTTTAAATCAAATCTCTTTATTAGGGCATGTTCAAAGGGAGAACACTAAAGTGTGTGCTTAGGATTAAAATATTAGTAAAGTATTATATTTTGTCTAAGAACATGGGAAATAGTCAAAGGGAGATCATTTTGTTTAAGAGTGTGCTTAAACAAAAACATATCATCGGCTTTGAATACGAATCACAGATTCGATCTCTCTCTCTACTCTCTCTCTCCTCCCATGCATCCATGGAGTCGGATAACAGCACCGGTTTCACCTACCTCGGCCGCAATTTCAGCAACTTAACCGTGAACGACCACTCCTCCGCCTTTAGCGACTGCAACTCCGACAGATCCGGCGAGTTCACCTCCGCTTCCTCCGAGAGCCGCCGCCTCCTCCTCTCATGCGCCTCCGATAACTCCGACGACCTCATCCGCCACCTCGTCGCCCACCTCGACTCCTCCTGCTCCGTCGACGAGCAGAAGCAAGCCGCCATGGAGATCCACCTCTTGTCCAAGAACAAACCCGAGAATCGGATCAAAATCGCTAGAGCCGGAGCCGTGAAACCTCTCATCGCGTTGATCTCGTCGTCTGATCTTCAGCTCCAGAGTTTTGATTTTTCGGCCAATAACAACGCGCCACGTCGCTTAGAACAGAGCCCAAGCACTGATCCTATTTAAGACCTGTTTTAGTGATCTTGGAACACTTTTGTATAAAAATGCATTATTTTAGGCCCAAGCACACAGCAAGTGTGCTGCCTTTAAACATGGCCTTAGAGGTTCCTATGACTTCAAGTTTCCGCATCTATGCACTCTTTTGCCTGAAGATAAAAGCGTATGTATGTATCATGTATGGGTTTCGCACACTTCGATTCGGACCATATGTGAAGTGGTTTCGCAATGTATAAACACTATTCTTATGAAAGTATGGAATTTTCGTGTCGTTGAGTGCATGTGTTACTGTGTTATTTAGTGAGATGTAACCTTATAAAGGAGATAGATATCAAAGCTAGAAAGATAATGGGGTTGGAGTTGCTTCAACAAGCACCAAAAGGGTTGGGCCACGAATTATTTCGCGCTTGTTTTGTAGACTCATGGTTTCTGAAAATGGACTTTGATTCACACTGGGCTAAGGTCCAATAATTTGGGATTTCAAAAACAAAGCTTTTTTTTTTATAACATCATTGTATTAATTATATAGCAAATACATAATCCATGTGGAGTATAGATTATCTAAAAACATTGGTACGTAGTTATAGAACTGAAATCTTGTTTCTTCAGCAACATGTTTAGCAATACAATCCGCAGCCTTATTTGCACTCCTTCTTGTCCATTGGAATCTGATTTGTTTGAATTTTGTAGACCACCACGTTATGTCTCTTGTCCAATTGTAGTATGCAAAGTGCAACTTCATATTATTCAAAATATCAATGGCTTTTTGACAATCGCTTTCAACAACTACTTATCGATGGCCAAGACTCCAACAATGCTGAACAGGCATTAATATCGCTTGCAACTCACTTTCTAGAGAAATATGTAGTTTATTGAAAGTAATTTATTTAAACTTCATATACCATCTATTAAGTAGACTAACCCAAATAAAAACTCTATTTTCTAGAGAAATGAAAACATCTAAGGTCTTAAACCTCTTTAATATTCATACTATGTCAGTGCATGATGTAGCTACGCAGTAAAACAAAATTTTCATATTTTCTTATTTTTCTTGAAATATGTGGGCTAACCCCTACGAAAATACTGAATTTTCTGATAAATGCTATCTATAATATTTAATCTCTTTAGTGTTATTTACAAATAACTAATCACACTATAAACTTACTTATATATATGGTAAACATATTTTCATGGTCGATGGGCATCATTTCTAATTTTTTATTAAGTACTTTATTTAAACTTCATATACAATTTATTAAGTAGACTAACCCCTATAAAAACTCTATTTTCTAGAGAAATGAAAACATCTAAGGTCTTAAACCTCTTTAATATTCATACTATGTCAGTGCATGATGTAGCTATGCAATAAAACAAAAATTTCATTTTTTTCTTATTTTTCTTGAAATATGTGGGCTATCTATAATATTTAATCTCTTTACTGTTATTTACAAATAACTAATCACACAAAAAACTTTTTTATATGTATGGTAAACTTATTTTCATGGTAGATGGGCATCATTTCTAATTTTTTATTAAGTAATTTATTTAAACTTCATATACCATCTATTAAGTAGACTAACCCCTATAAAAAACTCTCTTTTCTAGAGAAATGAAAACATCTAAGGTCTTAAACCTCTTTAATATTCAAACTATGTTAGTGCATGATGTAGCTATGCAATAAAACAAAAATTTCATTTTTTCTTATTTTTCTTGAAATATGTGGGCTAACCCCCTACGAAAATACTAAATTTTCTAATATATGTTATCTATAATATAAAGCCCACATATTATAGATGGGGTAGCCCATATATTTCAAGAAAAATAAGAAAATATGAAAATTTTGTTTTATTGCATAGCTACATCATGAACTGATATAGTATGAATATTAAAGAGGTTTAAGACCTAAGATGTTTCCATTTCTATAGAAAATGTAGATTTTATAGGGGTTATTCCACTTATTATGTGTTATATGAAACTTAAGTAAATTATTTAGTAAAAAGTTAGAAATGATGTCCATCAACCATGAAAATAAGTTTATGGTGCGATTAGTTATTTGTAAATAACACTAAAGAGATTAAATATTATAGATAGCATTTATAAGAAAATTCAGTATTTTCGTACGGGTTAGCCCACATATTTCAAGAAAAATAAAAAAATACAAAAAACTTGTTTTATTGCATAGCTACATCATGCACTGACATAGTATGAATGTTAAAGAGGTTTAAGACCTTAGATGTTTTCATTTCTCTAGAAAATAGAGTTTTTATTGGGGTTAGTCTACTTAATAGATGGTATATGAAGTTTAAATAAATTACTTAATAAAAAATTAGAAATGATGCCCATCTACAATAAAAATAAGTTTACCATACATATAATTAAGTTTATGGTGCGATTAGTTAATTGTAAATAACATTAAAGAGATTAAGTATTATAGATAGCATTTATCAGAAACTTCAGTATTTTCGTAGGGGTTAGCCCACATATTTCAAGAAAAATAAGAAAATATGAAAATTTTGTTTTATTGCATAGCTACATCATGAACTGATATAGTATGAATATTAAAGAGGTTTAAGACCATATATGTTTCCATTTCTTTAGAAAATGTAGATTTTATAGGGGTTATTCCACTTATTAGGTGTCATATGAAGTTTAAGTAAATTACTGAATAAAAAATTAGAAATGATGTCCATCAACCATGAAAATAAGTTTACCATACATATAAATAAGTTTATGGTGCGATTAGTTATTTGTAAATAACACTAAAGAGATTAGATATTATAGATAGCGTTTATCGGAAAATTCAGTATTTTCGTAGGGGTTAGCCTACATATTTCAAGAACAATAAGAAAATATGAAAATTTTGTTATATTGCATAGATACATCATGCACTGACATAGTATGAATATTAAAGAGGTTTAAGACCTTAGATGTTTCCATTTCTTTAGAAAATAGAGATTTTATAGGGGTTATTTCACTTATTAGGTGTTATATGAAGTTTAAGTAAATTACTTAATAAAAAATTAGTAATGATGCCCATCTACCATGAAAATAAGTTTACCATAAATATAAAAAAGGTTTTTTGTGTGATTAGTTATTTGTAAATAACACTAAAGAGAATAAATATTATAGATAGCATATATAAAAAATTTGGTATTTTCGTAGGGGTTAACCCACATATTTCAAGAAAAATAAGAAAAAATGAAAATTTTGTTTTATTGCATAGCTACATCATGCACTGACATAGTTTGAATATTAAAGAGGTTTAAGACCTTAGATGTTTTCATTTCTCTAGAAAATAGAGTTTTTATAGGGGTTAGTCTACTTAATAAATGGTATATGAAGTTTAAATAAAGTACTTAATAAAAAATAGAAATGATGCCCATCGACCATGAAAATATGTTTACCATACATATAAAAAAGTTTTTTGTGTGATTAGTTATTTGTAAATAACACTAAAGAGATTAAATGTTATAGATAGCATATATAAGAAAATTCAGTATTTTCGTACGGGTTAGATGTTTTATTGCATAGATACATCATGCACTGACATAGTATGAATATTAAAGAGGTTTAAGACCTTAGTTGTTTCCATTTCTATAGAAAATGTAGATTTTATAGGGGTTATTCCACTTATTAGGTGTTATATGAAACTTAAGTAAATTACTTAATAAAAAATTAGAAATGATGTCCATCAACCATGAAAATAAGTTTATCATACATATAAATAAGTTTATGGTGCGATTAGTTATTTGTAAATAACACTAAAGAGATTAAATATTATAGATAACATTTATCAGAAAATTCAGTATTTTCGTAGGGGTTATCCCACATATTTCAAGAAAAATAAAAAAATATGAAAAATTTTGTTTTATTGCATAGCTACATCATGCACTGACATAGTATGAATATTAAAGAGGTTTAAGACCTTAGATGTTTTCATTTCTCTAGAAAATAGAGTTTTTATTGGGGTTAGTCTACTTAATAGATGGTATACGAAGTTTAATTAAATTACTTAATAAAAAATTAGAAATGATGTCCATTAACCATGAAAATAAGTTTACCATACATATAAATAAGTTTATGGTCCGATTAGTTATTTGTAAATAACACTAAAGAGATTAAATATTATAGATAGCATTTATCAGAAAATTCAGTTTTTTCGTAGGGGTTAGCCTACATATTTCAAGAACAATAAGAAAATATGAAAATTTTATTTTATTGCATATATACATCATGCACTGAGATAGTATGAATATTAAAGACGTTTAAGATCTTAGATGTTTCCATTTCTTTAGAAAATAGAGATTTTATAGGGGTTATTCCATCTACCATGAAAATACGTTTACCATACATATAAAAAAGGTTTTTTGTGTGATTAGTTATTTGTAAATAACACTAAAGAGATTAAATTTTATATATAGCATATATCAGAAAATTCAGTATTTTCGTAGGGGTTAGCCCACATATTTCAAGAAAAATAATAAAAAATGAAATTTTTGTTTTATTGCATAGCTACATCATGCACTGACATAGTATGAATATTAAAGATGTTTAAGACCTTAGATGTTTTCATTTCTCTAGAAAATAGAGTTTTTATAGGGGTTAGTCTACTTAATAAATGGTATATGAAGTTTAAATAAAGTACTTAATAAAAAATTAGAAATGATGCCCATCGACCATGAAAATATGTTTACCATACATATAAGTAAGTTTATAGTGTGATTAGTTATTTGTAAATAACACTAAAG